GCAAAAAACTATGAACTTGAAGCAAAGGTAACATTCTAACCTCTAAACTTGAGAACATGACAAATGGATCTAGTGGACTCAATAACGTTGTTCAAATAAATGAAGGAGGCAGAAAATTCATTAGTATATGGTTTAATTATCAATCCTTGAATGATAAAGGAAAACCTTCAGTGAGAAAACATGATGTTGATGCTAAAATAACAATGTCAGACCTAATATTCCAACATCCTGGCAAGGGACAAAAACTCCTGAACAAAGTAGTTGTTCACCCCTGGAAATGTCACTATTGCGGGAATTATAGTCATATAAGACCCTTCTGTTATAAGTTATATGGATACTCTAAATGTGTTGAAAATAAGGGCAGAAAATGGAAATCTAAAGGTGTGAACACTTGTCTCTTTTCTCAAGTTCATTACAGAACTTCATTTGACAAAGTCTATGTTAAGCTGCAGACTAAGGGAAATCACTCAAATGTCATAAGAAATGTCATGACATTAGACTATGATTACTTGAGTAACACTAATAGCGTAAAGTGTATTACTAAACATAATAGCTCAAAGTAATGTGAGAATCCTTATCAGCTCATCAATGAGGTGTCAAGGGAAAAAGAAAGTGTTGTTCAAATGTGGTCACAGTGAAAAATCTCAAAAAGAAATTTGCCAAGAATGTAAGAGAAGTTGGAATTAGCATCATTAAGAGACTATGGAAATCAATAATATGTAGGTGTGCAATGGATAATTTTGTCGCCCATCACTTATTTAATTATAAAAAATCATTGACATTATTACAAAGATTTGATTTATCCAAGCTAATACATGACTTAAACCTTATAACCTACTGCATTCACAATTCTTATTCCTTCGGTTCTCACTGCAACCGCCACTCCTTTAGATCCAAAAAATTTATTCAAAATCTAATTCCTAATACTTCACTCTCAAAATTTAAAAACCCCAATATGTCTAACACAGAAGACATGTCTTGTCACACTCACTATACTGTTGGAACTGCTGAAGGCATGGCGAATGAGTACTTAATGTTGCTCCTTTTTTGATCATTCTTGCCATAACTCCGAAGAAGACCAGAACGAAGTTCCTTGAAGGAAGATGAATACCTCATTATATTGATGTAAGTAACCCTATTATCCCTGAAGAAAAGGTCTCTGAAGAAATCACATATGCGAGTAAGAATAAAGGTTCAACAAAACCTAATGTTCTCAGAAAAACTAATCAGAAAGAAGTTTGAGTTGATCAAAGCATAAGAAAGAAAGTGGTTGGCATTCTAGGTATTAAGAATACTCCAAATGATGCATCTAATGTTGGAACATCATTAGATAGTTTTTTGAATGTTAAGGTGCATAAAAACCCAGATGCAGGTGAAACTGAGGATACATTTTTTGATAAAGCAGGTGTTGAGGGTTATAATGTTATTGATAAGGTAGTCAACCTTGATGATATCCCTTCAGATGATGAACTCATTAGCAAACGACTGGCTCCTGATGTTGCCAAGAAATTAAGGAACGTGAAAGAAAAGATTGATGATGCGACTAAGAATCCTTCCTCAAAGAAAGATGTGAGGATAGGTCCAACAAAGAAATGAAGCAAGGTAGTGGTACATGAGTCCAAAAGAAATAACTTAAAAAGGAAATATGTTACTTCCAGTGACTCAGAGTATGATGTTGATGATGATGTTGAAGACATCGTGAAAAAAGTCAAGAAGAAAACTATATCAAAAAGGAGTCTTGCTGAAGTTTCTAAGATTCCTATGGATAATGTGTCATTTCATCTTGCATAAAATGCTGGAAAATGGAAGGTTTCATGTCAGAGATGTATTGCTCTGAAAAGATAATTGGGTGAAGATATCTTAAAGTGCAAGGAAGATATTGATCTTATCAAAAAGTATGGTCTAATGAAGAGTGTGTCAATGCTGAGTAAGGGCTATGAGAAATTGGTGAAAGAGTTTGTTGTGAACATTACTCAAGAATGCACTAAGAAGAGAAGTAAGGAGTTTAGAAAGGTGTTTGTAAGAGGTAAGTGTGTATAATTTTCTCTTGTTGTGATAAACAGGTTTCTAGAAAGAAGTGATGGAGAACAATTTGAGGTTAGAGTTTCTGATGATACAATTTGTGAAGTTATCACTAGAAAATAGGTAAAGGTATGGCCTAAAAAAGGAAAAATTTCCAGCCAGCCTCCTAAGTGTGAATTATGCTATCCTTCACAAGATTAAAGTTGTTAATTGGGTGCCTACCAACCATACCTCTTATGTTGCTATTGGTATAGGAAGGTTCATTTAAATTGTTAAAACCGAAATTGAGCATGATTTTAGAAACTGAATCTTTGATCATATCATGAAGCAGGGAACTTCTGATGCAGTAAAAATGCTTAATGCATTTCCATCTCTGATTTGTGGAATCATCCTTGCTCAACATCCAGCAATCTTAACTGATTCATATGTGGTGTGCAAAAGATATTCACCTCTGACTTTTCATCACAAGATGTTTGAATAAGCACATGTTCCTGACATTGTCATAACATCTAGAAAAGGAAGTATTGTCTCTACATCTAAGGCCATCATCATAGTTGAGTTAAAGGCCACCTGCAAAGGGTTAGATGAGTCTATCAAGGCCAACACAACTAGGAAGATAAATCTTGAGAGTTTGATTGAAGCCCTGACTAAAGGAGTGACAAGCAAATCTTGTTGCTGAAAATGATGATGGTCATGCAGAGAATAATGGGTCTGAAAGAGCTCATGAAGAGGAAGAAGAATAAGCTGGTGAAGATTGAGTATCACTTGGTGGTTGGTTCTTCTGTGTGTTAGTATAATCTTTTTGTGATTTCTTTGTTTAAGGGCTTATGACCCATTGTCTTTCTTTTGTCACTCTGTATCCTTTTCTTGATATTTCTGAACATTGTCTATTTCCACCTGGTGCTCAATAGTTTGTTTGTTTCCATCTTTGGGTGTACATGTTTTTATTTTTGTTTCCACCTGTGCTCTTATTTGTGCTTCCATTGTTTATGTGAAATATGTGCTCTTGCAATCTTTACATTTACTTTGTTCTCTCTTTGTCAAGATTTTCCCTAAAAATGGATAGTAAAGTGTTGTGTTGTGTGTGGTTGCCTATGCAACTATTTAGGGGGAGCATGGTAGTCATGCTTGCTTTGTGCTTTTGTTGCTATTGTTATTGATGTAGCTAGTTTGTGTAGGATGAGGATGTATTAACAGATGTTCCAACATCATGTCTGGTGTGCATTGAGAATCACTTGGATTTCTCTTACAGTGTGGGTTTCTCCTTGAGGGGGAGAACATATTATGTGTGATAAAGGGAGTGCTAACTTGTATGGTATGTGTATCTGTTGTAACTCTGATACATATCTTTATGATGTAGCTTGTTTTGTTTATGGTTTTATTTCTCTCTCTTAGATCTTTTATGCTAAGATTGTTTTAACCAAAATTTGCCAAAGGGGGAGATTGTTAATACCATGGTTTTATGATTGGCTAAATTTTTCCAAAAACATGGTTTGTCATAATAGGTTTGATGTTATGTGTTTTCAGCCAGATGTTGAAGACAATGTTATGTGTTAATTAGTCAAATTTGATGGGACAAAAAATCCAATAAATCTTAAATAAGAGATCAAAAGACGTGGCAGAAATTGTGTCATATAGAGTCACACATCTAATATCCAATGTTACGTCAAGGCCACGCCATAAAATAAAGTGGAGAGAAACAAAACTCAAAAAATATAAATAGGAGTAGGAATAACAATGGATATGGTTTGGGCAGGATATTCGTCCCCATCTCTATATTTTGAAAAATCTATTCGTCCCCATCTCTATATTTTGAAAAATCTTCGTACCCGAGTCCATACTCATGTAGGCACCAATATTTATACTTTTGTATACATACCCTATGGATAGGAGTGAGAATAGATCAAACCAACTAATAAGAGCCTACTACCTAACCCACACATGTCCAGGTCAGGCCTTTTTTTTTTAAATAAAAAAGTCCTAGGCCTTTTTATAAGTCCATTTAGCTAAAAAAGACTAGACCTCGAGCCATAAAACAAGTCTTTTAGGTTTATCGGATTTATCTATTTAAATAAGCATGAATAATTTATTATTATTATTATTATTATTTATTATTATTATTATTATTATTATTATTATTATTATTATTATTATTATTATATTTATAACTTGAATTAAATATAAAAATAAAACTTAGTTATCTTAAAGATCTTATTAAAATAGGTTGAAAACTCCTTATAAACAATGTCATAAGTTGTTTTTATAAGTTTTTCTAAATAAGTAGTCTCACAAAACTAATACGACTAGATAAGCTCAAATAAGTCAATACGAATAAACTTTTGGTATCATTGATTTTGTAATTTTTTTTAATCTATATAAATATTAACTAAATTACCTATTTTCATATGTTCAGATGAAATAGATTTTTAAGTAGACTATTAAGCTAATCAAACATTCAAAAAAGTCAGACTCAAATATAAAAATAAATCTATAATATACTAAAGGTCAGATTTAAACTTGACAAAACTTAACTCAACTCAGCCTATTCACTCCCTACGTTTGAGTACTAAGTATCGATACCCTTAGTCGTTAGTAACATATCTAATAAAAACAAATATATCAAACATAAAGTATCATATCATTTTAAATTCTTAACAATATTAAAAAATCCAAAAATTTTATTATTAAATTAAAAAATAAACAAATTGTTATATTAAAGATAATTTAGTAACGTGGACTCTAGGATTCCAATACCAATGTCGACTCCATCGCTCACACCCGTCATCGGTTCAACTATTTTGGAAGTTTGTGATGAAACAAGTGGACCATATAAATTTATTAAAATCTTATTTTTATTTATTTTTATAAGAACCACCCAAATATCAATATCATAACAAAATCTCCCTCTGGAATTACAGAACAAGTGGTGTGTGGGACTAGTGGATGGGGTGCTGCTAGTTTCTCATTTCCTTCAAAAAATGGTGCACACACTCTCTCTAATGGCTTCTCACATCTATCCTTCACCCCTTGCCTTCCCCACAACACATGTCAAGGTAACAACATATCCAAATCTCACTGCTCCTTATAGATTCATAGTTTTCTTGTTCATTTACTGTCATCATAATGGTGTTATTGTTTTGTAAACTAGGGTTTTTATAAGGTTTATTAATGCCAATCTTGCTGAATGCATAACTTTTCAATTGGTTTTTTTCATGACAGGAGTGTCAAACTTTTGCACCTTCTTCTTTAGCAAAACCAGATATGCTCAATTATCAGTATCCTTTTCTTAACTCAAGTCCATTTGGAGAGCCCGTTAAAACCCGAAAAAATTGGTTTGATGAAACTCAGTTCGTCAATGTTGATTCCTCGCCCCAATGGCATGTATCAATTGATGCACAAGGTATGTCTCATTTGATCTAACCATTTTGTGCCTAATTTGTCTATAATGCTTGATTATCGTTTCATCATTATCTTATATTAGAACCAATAAAAACTGGCTTTGTCTGGAGTCGTCTTAAGTTTTTGGAGGTCCTATGTAGGTTAGCCGCGATTCAACATTAACAAAACAACTAGGGGCTCTATTTAGCCATGGTTTAGCCTTGAAATATCTATTATGAGGCCTTATTTAGCCAGAGTTTAACTGTGGAAAATTTGAGTCCATGTTGCACACCCTCATAAACGGCTTCGGCTTTGTCTCTAAGATGTTATGTACTATGTAGCACTGACACTTTAGATTAAAGGTGTGTCAATGTCTGACACTGGCATACCACTGATTCATGTACATTCAATTTCTTCTAATTTTCAAATTGTTATTAATGTTGTGTTTGTGTTAGCACTTCATACATTATATATATTACCATTTTCATTCATTGATGTACGAAATAGGAGTGAAGATGAATGCATGAGATGTTTTCTATTGCTATATTGTTTGTTTTTCATGTTGTATCTAATTGTGTCTTCTGAGTAACATTATTTACCTTTCACTTTTACAGAATCCTGTTCAAATGCAGTACTTTTAGGCTTTGGCATTGTTGAGCAATGTACTAAGCATGATACAGTTTCAAATCTCCTAAAATCGGGAACTGCTGAGTCACGGGTAGATGGTGCAAATATATCCTTGTTATTAGACTTGATGAAATTGCAGTTGTCAGCCATTAATGAACCTCAACAACCATTCTCATCTGACTCGTCGTGTCTTTTATACCTTAATGACAAATTCAACATCAAGAAACCTTTTCTGTATTTTCTTCAAGATTCCGCACTTACTTCAAAGGTTACGGTTCATCTTGATGGCCAAATCACATTTATGGGTGCGGAAATTCAGATGAAAGATCTTCTTTCTGTAGTTGCTGAGTCATATTTGTCAAAGAGATTACATAAGGGTGAAAAGCTCTCAGTGCTTGTTCCACACTTCAGCAGGTAAAAACAGAATTATCATCTAAATTTCTTTATAATTATTGATATTTGAATCAACATCAAATTAAGAATTGCATTATGTTTGCAAATGGTGTGTCTTTTCTCTAGTATATTGTCAAATTTTATCCTTTTAGATGTTTTGCAAATATGTGTTGTGCAAATATGGCATTCAAAAAAAGAAATGAAGAGATGCTGCACAAATATTAGAGTCGTTCCAACCAAGTAGGTAGTTCAGGGGTGAGATAAGGGATAATATAGGTATTTGAGCCGACTGATATGGGTGTATCTGGAGGTACAAAGCATCCCTTATAAAAACAGCAACCTATGAGAGATCTCGCTTCTGAACGAAAATCATGCATGTACATCAGTTGCACTTTCACAAGATTATCGCTAGCTCAGCTCAAACATAATTGTTGATAGTATCAAGGAACTGGGTAAACAAGACCGATCAATACTAGTGTAAGTGTTGGTAGCATATGTTCGTGAAAAGTTCAACTACACAACCACATATAGAAAAACACGGTTAGAAAAACAGAAGGCTGTTAAACAACTATTTGTCAATTGGGGTTGTGGAAAAGGGTATTCTGCTTACCTCCTAAAACAGATCAAATCCTTTCCATTTAAATTAGCTTTAATAAAAATACACTAAAAGGCATCAGTAACTATGTTACTTAACATCGCTAGATATCTGTCTACTGTAGTTTAACCTTTAAATCATTATAACTGAATCAGCTTGCTTCTAGAGCTGTTTGCATTGAATTGAACAATTTAATACATTTGTGAAATTGTGATATTCTTATTATTATTCTGTTCGGTAAAAGATACCATACATAACTTTTTAGTCTCTTGATTTGACATTTTAAGACTGTTAATTTTGTATCAAGAAACTGACTTTGCTGAGATTCTATATGGACAGGGTGAATATCGGTGAAGCAGAAGTACAGAGTCATTCATCTACAATGAAGATCAAATCTACCTTAACCGCTCCTTTAAGGAGGTATGCAGAATATACTTTTCCCTTCTGTTGACATTGCTTCTTACTGTGATATGCTCTGATGTTTGTCGGTGGAAAAAAACAGTTATTTTGATCTGTCAACCTTATTTGGCATTTAAATGTTGTGCACTTTCGTCTTTCTGCAGTTTAAACTTTAAAGTCTATTTAAGAATACAAACTTATGTATTCACCATAAAAATAGCAAGACTAATGTTTTTTACTCCTCTCCTCCATCAGATAAATAATAATGTAGGTTGTAGTAATAAATCTTATATTAGGTGCTTGAGGCGCTATCTAAGGCTTTGAGGGTTGGTTGATGTGACAATTCTTATATTTAGACCAATTGTTATGTGGAGTTTGTCGGTTTAACTATGTTTCTTGTCCATGTGTTCTAATGAGCTTTACCAAGCACTATTATATGCTAGAGAAAATCATTGCTGTCGTATTGAGGCTTAACATGTGTTTGAATAATGGAAAAAAAAACTGCTTTTAAGTTTGGTATGGAAAAAATGAAAACTTTCTGGTCAATGGAAATAGCTTTTTAGCTTCTATAGAATAATAATCAATTCTCAAGAACAAATGAAATGAGAAAGGATTATCTTCTTTTAGAACTTCTTTTGATACTAACATCAATAATAAGGGATGGGAGTATAGAACTTCAAACAAATTTTCAACACGAATGATATAGAGGTGTCGTATTCAATTCTTTGGCTGCATTATTGCTTTCATTTAAGCTGAATATATCTACCAAGTAGTTCATAGTCTCACCTACAGACCTACTGGAATATACAATGGCTAATTGCTTACAGTAATTTCTTACTCAAGAAGTATAATAATGTTAATAACTTTTTCTCTTTCCTCTGCAGTCCTGAGAAAGTCAAACTCAAACCATCAAAAAAGAAGAATAAGAAAATCAACAGAGAAAGAGATATCTACAAAAACTATTCACATGCATGTGAGAGCCTTCTGTCCTTGATGGTCAACAAGAAACAAAATCGAAAAACAATAATTCCTTCACTCAAGAAATCCGGCCCCGAGCTTCCTGAGCTTCTTATGCAAATTTCTGCTGGGATTGCTGGGACTGGCCTTGCTGTCCTACTATCTGTCATGTGTAAGCTAGCTTGTGGAAGGGTTCTTCTTTCTGCATCCAGCTTTTTCAGTACCGGGTTGGGATTTGGGTTGGTTTGGCTTTCTTGGATAGTAAGTAAGCTAAGGGCCACAATCTTTAGCATCAGCAAGAATGCAGGAAAGCCAGGTTTGAAAGAAGAGGTAATGATTCAGAAACTCGATAAGAGGATTAGAGATATTTACTTCGGCTCCGCAGCAATTCTAGCAGTGGCAGTGCTAAGTATTGCTTGAGTAACATCTCCCAAGATGTAGTTTGTTGAACTGTAAATGTGGATGTCTATAGTGATGATAAACAGTTCCAATAAGAAATATTTGAAAGCATCAATTGATCAACAATCATATGTAGTTAATGTCATAGTTTCAGGAAGCATTGTTTGGTATTGTAGTTTGTAATGTAGAATTTTGCTATGGAATCAAGCAACTGGCTTTCTCTAGTACTCATTACACCAAGAATGATAAAATTAGCACTTAGATCAAGATTGAATTGTCAAAATCTCCCATATGGACACTTGTGCACCTGAAAATACAGAGAAAACAAATCACTTATTTAAAGCTAAAACAAACGGTCCATAATCCACTAAAAGCTCTTTCCACTGTTAACATGAATCTTCGGGAGCAATGGACACTTGTGCTACAGACCTTAGAAACAAAGAACCTACAAAGTTGTGGGAGTAAGCAAATAACGAGGTAATTCAGCATAAATGATTTGTGCACTATTAATATTACCAAACTATATATAATGATGAAATTGAGTAGAGTGTAACTAGACTTTACTAATTGAATTGTAACATTATAAGCTTTTCCACTTTCTAGGATGCTATAGTTAGTTATATTCTATAACCAATTGTTCACTGAATGCCTAATATATATGTAAACTAGGATTGTACTCAGTTATTGCAAGTTGATGAGTTTATACACCAATTACTGATTCTCATGTTCTTCCCCTGATACTTTGATGGTATAGAGATGGTTCATCCTGCTCTGCTTCTGCCATGTTAGAATTTTTTAAATCACAATCTCTATCAATTTATTTTAGTTTTCTCAATTTCATTATCGATAAATTTCTTTCAATTTTCTTTCGAAATCAGTTTCTAAAGTTGCCACATGGCGAGGGGTCGAGAAAATCAGAATGTGAATCAAGACCAATCTCATTCCCTAGATCCTTTCGTCCATCAGAAAGTCAAACTATTGCTGCGCCAACTTTATTTGGTCAAAACAAGTATGCCAGGGCGTTGAAGATGTGTAGAGCTTTAGCTATGAAACAAATTCAAGTTTGTGGACGGATCGCTCAAAATTCCAAGAAAATATGATATGAATTTTGTGGCATGGGAGCGATGCAACAATTTCGTTCATTCTGGGATAATCAATTTCATCATCATAGCTGATATAGTTTGATATAAGTAGAGTAGTCATGTTTCAATCAAAACTACAAAACAAATATTGGTATGATTGTCCAGCATTATGTTTAGTCGATGAATAGAATTCCTATAAAACTGTTAGGAAACAAAACCTCTTATCAGGTTTTATATGGTAAGCCTTTAGATTTGATAAATTTAGAAGTTTTTGGGTGCTTGTGTTATGCCTCTACACTTCCTGCACACATATTGAAATTTGATGCTAGAGCACATACATGTGATTTCATGGTATCTTCACATACCATCACCAACACAGTCTACAATATATGTTGATGATAATGTAGTTGACCATGGCCATCCTACTCCTAACGAACTTGCAGCATTAACTAACCTAGAGCTAGAACTTGGAATTGAAACCATAGCAACCACTACAAACTCTGCATATGAACCAATTGAGACAAAAAAAAAGAACTACCTATTCATTTCTAGACGCACCTCCTACAATAATTGTCCCTTTGAGAGGATTTACCAGCAAGTAGGTAGTGGTTTGAAAAACTCACTAGCTTCTTGCTTTTTTCTTTTGGTTTCACACAAGACAAAATATAGGTCTTTTGCTTGTACTGCTTGAGATTGTCTGCTTTTTACTGCAGCAGTCAACATGCTATTCATATTGCTGCAGATCCTGTGTTTCATGAGCGCACGAAACACCATAACCAAACAGTAGATATGTTAACCAAAGCTTCTCATCTGAGCCTCTTTTTTGACTTTGTACTCAAGCTTGTAATGGTGGACATATACCACCTTGCAAGGGGTATGAATGAAACTATACCGTCTATGATGACAAAATTGATTAGTGTGCGTACTTAGACTTTAACTTGTAATTAGAGCATGTATAGATTGGGTTATTTGAGTTTTTCTTTGTTCATAAGTTTTATGACAATTATTTACTAAAACAATTTATGATATTTTTCATGAATTTATTTTTAATTTATTTTTTAAGATCTTCAAAATAACCTATAAAAAATAACAATTTAAATTTACTTTATCTTTTACCATAAAAATAACTTATACAAACTTATATTATAAGCTACAAATAAGCCAATTATCCAAACAATCACGTAACCACCAATTAATTGAATGACGAGTTTTCAAGCTAGGATTGCATTGATTTATCACTGGTTGAGTAATTCTTTATGTTCTTATCTAATACTTTTGAACTACCTAAAAATGATGTGAAATTTATGATTAGGTTAACCATCTATAAAAATATATTTTGATAAAATTCATTAATATAAAATTGCATAAGTTGTGCACTATATAAATATCTTACTCATACCGAGTTTCATAGCTAAGGAACTTCTATAAATCAAAAGCGAAAACATTTACGGTTTCCACAAACGCTAATAGATCAAACCTGAGAAACAGAACCAAACTACATTTAGCTAATATAGACGGCCAATATAGTCTAGATGACAGATATACAAACATGTTAGAATTCAATCTCCCGTTCTATATAAATTTCAAGCTAGATATAGATGCACACCAGTGTATCATAAACAAAACTAACAATCATGTTTCAACTTATTTTGATATACCTGAAACAAACAGAAATAGAGAGCAATAGTCTTAAAGCAAAATGAATAATAATATTTAAAATAAAATAAAAAGATTTGCAAAATCCAACATCTATGATTAGACTGTTAACGTATAAAGAGATTACTCATTCACATATTATTTTTCATAAAGCAGGAAGAGTCTGCAGCTACTGAGCTTCTTTTTTTTTTTTTTTGGACCCAATGTTGACAATTTATGAACTAAAAAAATGAACCATGAAGATGAGCTTCTCTATAATTTACTCAAATCATCATCCAACCACCACTGAATATTAATTGGTTATCACAGGGATTGTATTTTCAATAGATTAATCGGATCCAGGGGCCTCAACCCCCTTTTGCAAATGTGTCGGACTAAATTTTTTAATAACTTCAGCTAAGCACTTTTGATACCACACCTGCACCGACTGTTCTACCACCCTCTCTCAAAGCAAATCTTTGCCCTGTAAAATCAAATAATAAGCATTGAGCTTTCCTCACTCCAGCATAAAGTCCATAATAAATTCAGCCAATGGTGACGCTAACATTGCAGCATATTGGAAAATTTATGTGAGGAGATTAACATGCAGAAAATTTGACATCTTTCTTCTCCCTTTTGTATATTATAAAAAATAATAAGGTATCCATCCTTGTTAAATAATATACTAACCTGTTTCAAGAGGAACAGGTAAAATCAATTCGAACACAGCGGTAACATTGTCTCCAGGCATAACCATTTTAACATTTTCCGGCAACTCTACTTTTCCAGTGATATCAGCAGTCCTCAAGTAAAACTGAGGTCTATAGTTAGAAAAGAAAGCAGTGTGTCGACCACCCTCATCCTTTGTGAGTACATATATCTCTGCCTCAAATTTCTTGGAAGTTTTTACAGAACCGGGTTTAGCAATGACCTTACCAAAACAATACAAAGTTAGTTATGTGGTTTCTCGATTCTAGCATTTAAATCTACTGAAAGAAGTACAGATTAATATAAAGTTCTCTTGAATCCCGTGACAGTCTCTAAGAAAAAGTCAAAGCTAGATCATTGCTTCTAACCTGACCACGTTGAATGTCTTCCCGTTTCAGACCACGGAGAAGAAGACCAACATTATCACCGGCCTAAGAAATGTAAAAAACCAAGTTTAATTTTTGTTATGTAAAAATCCCTCAATATGAAGAAAACAAAAACTTACTTGTCCTTGATCCAAGATCTTCTTGAACATCTCAACTCCAGTAACGGTTGTTTTCAAAGGACCACCCTACCAGGTAAATTTTAGTTTAGGAAACACCATCACAATGCAAGAAATTTATCAAAACTCTGATAATAAAAAACCAACCAATATCCAAACAAGAACAAAACATTAATCATCACCAATAGCAAATAAGATATACAAGCAAAATAAACCAGCAATCAGTAGATTGAGAAAAGGATCTACGAGAATTCAAGGGCAATCCAGGAAATGACTCAATCAACATACCTGCATCAGACCTAAAACCTCAACCTCATCACCAACTTTGATGATCCCTTGTTCAACACGGCCAGTAGCAACTGTTCCTCGTCCCTTGAACACAAATTAAAAATACAAATCAGCAGACAAGACATTCTGGATATCAATGCTTCTAAATATGATCCTGCTCTGCAGTATACAAGATTAATCAAGGCAGATCGTGATACGTCGATATTTCTTTTTAATTTATTTTTAAAAATAAAACAAAAAAAGAGAGCAATGTTTTTCAAGGTTTCATATCCAACTGAAATTAGATTGATACCAGCACTGTGTCGTGTCAATGTCAACAGCAAGGCTTAACAATAAATTATTAAAAGTACCTCACAGTTAACAGTATTGTACAAATACAATAACCAAGCATGTGTATATGTACTTATTTCAATGAGTTGTCATTCTTCAAAGTGTAAGAAAACAAAACAAAAAAACTCCATGTAATTTTACCTGAATTGAGAACACGTCTTCAATGGGCATCAAGAAAGGTTTATCAAGCTGACGAACAGGGTCAGGAATGTATTCATCTACAGCATCCATTAATTTTAGAATGGCCTTACTGCCGATCTCTTCATTTGTACCATTTAAAGCAGACAGTGCTGAACCTCTAATGATAGGGATGTCATCCCCTGGGAACTTGTAGAAGCTCAGAAGCTCTGCCAGATACACAATTAACAAAAATTCACTTCAAAATTTACCAAATAGGAGGACTCAGAAAGTTACAAAGGTGTGCTCTTAATTCTTATCATGAATACTAATAGGGAAAAGGGAGGGAAGGTGCATTGTTAGAGAAACACTCACCACGGAGCTCCATTTCTACAAGCTCTAACAATTCTGGATCATCGACAGCATCAACTTTATTTAAAAAGCACACAAGAGACGGCACACCAACCTGCACAACTCATGTAAAGGTAAATGAGTGCTAATCTAGAAGCAAGGAAGTAACGGTATACCTAAAAGTTTGTTTCTATTGTTTACAAACCACTTCAATAGAATACCTACTTGGCGAGCAAGAAGAATGTGCTCCTTGGTTTGAGGCATTGGTCCATCAGGCGCAGATACAACAAGGATACCACCATCCATTTGGGCAGCTCCGGTAATCATATTCTGCAAAGCAAACAATGGTTAAATATGTGCAATAACTAAACAAGCACAAAATGGCAGAAACATGTTTCATAAAATAGTGTTGATGGTTGAATAAGAAATATTTTGTGCTTTACTTAACTTAAAAGAAAACTGATAGAGAAACGCCTAATAGTACATTAAAGCATGTTGTAATAGAAAATTATTGAGTGACTTTTTTCTTTACAAATTTTGGCTAGAATTAGAAATTCATACTAATCAGACTTTTCTTTTGCATATTCAGTTTCAATAGAGGATGGAGCCACACATAAGCACCCAATTAGACAATATTAAGAATTTTGTTATAACTAACAACAACAACAATAATAATAACAATCAAGTTGTGCCCCCACTAAGATGAGTCATCTACATGGACCAAACAACGCCATAAATTCAGTCATATATTGGGCCAGTTTGTTTCAGCTTTAAAAAAATGGATATTTTCTTTGTATTTTTGAAAATAGATTTTACAAAACTGCTTTTCAAAATATTACAAGTTTTTTTATATTAGTTTTTTCTAAATTGAAACATTGAGTTTGACATCCTATAACATAAACATGCATTATTGAAGACCAAATATAGTCAAAATCGCAATTTTTCAAAAAGTTGTATTTCAAAAATGATTTTAATGAAAATCTATTTGAAATAGCTTCAAAATTAAGTGATTTTTTGAAATTTTGATATCCAAAAAATGTATCAATTAGAAGATGAAATACCTAAAATAACATTAAGCTTTTATGAAAAGTTTCTTTGTAAGTTTTTTTTAAACATTATAAAAATCATTTTAAAAAATAAAGCCAAAACAAACGGGCCCATTGTATCTCCATTCTACTAATTAATCTTTGCCTTTCTTAATAATTCCTTTTAGAGTTTTTCTAGGTCTTCCTTTGCCTCTAGTGATTTGACTACCCTCTATCTTATTTACTTTCCTTGCTACATAATCTACATATCTTCTCTTCACGAGCCCAAACCACCTAAAAGCGATATTCCACCATCTTTTTTATAATGGGTGCTACCTCAACTCTAATGTTGTCATTCATGATCCTATCTTGTCTAATCTTACCATACATCAATCCATTGCAACATTCATATCTATGCTACATTCATTTTATTCTCATGATGGTTTTTTTCCTGCGCAACACTTTGTCTCAAGACCGAATAAAAGGAGAGGGTTGTGTTAGGAAGTCAACTACCAACCGAAAACTTAATCAATTCTCTCTGCCATGGATCAAATACATGATTTTGTCAAAACTTAAAATCACTAAATTTCATTCCACTACCTTTAGATATCAACAATCCTATGTTAAAAATATTCAACCATTTCTTAAATCTTAAAAACTCAATCATCTCATTTCTATTAGTTAATTAATTAACAAGTATATAAAAAAATAGATGATGTAAAACACGATTTCCAATCCTATTCATTGTCTAAAATTAAAACATCATAACATCACTTCTTAAACCTATTTCCAATGTACAAGAAAGTGTAAAACATATTTATAAAGTCACTGTATAATTATTAATAAATTAAACCCTAGGCTATGTTTAAGGCCAAATTCAAAGCTTACTTTCACATAATCTGCATGTCCAGGACAGTCAACATGTGCATAATGTCGTTTTGCAGTCTCATATTCAACATGTGCCTGAAAATTGTAACACCAAACAATTACTTCCATTTTCATACAAACTCATCCACAGAGGCAGCAAAAACAATGTAATAAACCATTTGCACCAAACAAATAAGCAACAAAAACAAATCCTAACCGTAGCAATTGTAATTCCTCTTTTCTTCTCTTCAGGCGCCTTATCAATTTCATCAAAAGCAATAGCCTTAGCTTTCCCTTCATCAGCAAGCACCTGCAATCAACCAAAACTTCATCAGCTCTAAAACCTAATCGATTGAAACCTAAGCTTTATTTCACTTCATCGGAGTGTGCGTTACTCTGGTGATTGCAGCAGTGAGTGTGGTTTTGCCGTGATCTACGTGACCAATAGTTCCAACGTTAACATGAGGCTTCCTGCAATCAAAACAATAACAATCATAAATAAAATAATTTGCGGTTCCGAAAAATTGAAGAGTGATAGAGATAGGAGAGCTACGTTCTGGTGAAAGTAGCCATGGATCTCCACCAAGGGTTTGAGGAAGAAAGGGATATATTGTCATTGGTGAGAGGGGATTGAGATTGAGGTGAACGAGTGAGGGAAGTGTGGAATTGAGAGGAGAAGAGAAGAGGGGAAAGACGTTTGGAAGATGAAGAAGAGTTTCGGAGAAGAAGCGTAGTAGCCATTGATTTGGAGTGAAGAAGGTGAGGGTTGAGGAGGCGAGGGTTTTAGATGCAGAAAAAGAATAACGTTAAAAAAGTGAGAAATGAAATGAGAAGGGTTTTAGAATGGGCGCCCAACACCGACCCGGAATGTTTGCAAGGCCCAAATTATTTGCAATCCTCGGTTTAGAGAAATTAACTTGATACCCTCGTATTATACATGGCACCCCTCTAAAGGATATGAAAAGATTAAATTATTCGGACTCAAATTATTTATTGTAGATTTCAAATTCACTTAGACAATGGATTTTTCAAATTTTTGGGCTATACTAGAAATTTCGAAGGCGGTACCGGAAATTTTGCGTATCGGAAATTTCAAAATATTCAGTATTTTCATTTATCATTTATATCAAAAAATTTGAAATTTGCGGTGCGTCACATAATACCGGAAATTTTAAAATTTCTGGTAGTTCAATTATTTTTTGAAAAAATACCGAAAATTTAGAAATTTCCGGTATTTTATATTTTCTTGATATTTTCTCATTTTGCAGTGAGGACCAGAGGCAGAGATTGTTCTATTGCGGGACAGACCACTGATAAAGCTAATGTTGAAGCCCGTGCTGATGAGGCACATGGTTCAGAGCTAAGGGTTGTACGTCATCCTCCGACTGATTTTCATCGAAAACGAATGGCTGAGAAGAATTCACAGTTCCGCGCATCCCGCCGTCGGGGTCATAGAGTATCCACTGAGGAGGTACAGACTCCTGCTCCTATTGTGAAACTGGTAGTTGAGAAGCATATTGTGGAGCATGTGGTGTAGGAGCCTGAGCAGGAGATTCTTGTTGAGCGAGTCGATAAGGTATCCCCCGTTGATACAGACACCACGACTCGTGCATCTACAAAGTCATCAGTAGACACTGATGGAGGATTCTCTAGAGGACCTTCAGACAGGTCCGTGCTGACAGAATTTGCGGACCATGTCGCGTATAGGATATGGCAAGGCGAGATATATATTTTTGGTTTTGTTTAATTGCATTATTTTTATTTTGGCTTACAAGATTTGATGTATAATAATTTGTTTTTGCTTCTTACAGGAGCGTCAGTTGTTGAAGGTCGCTTCTCATGGTTCGAAGTTAAAGAACTTCCCTGAGAGTCCCATGCCTGAGGAGGGTGAATAGGATCATTAGTGAGTTTTATCTCTTGGAGTTTTCTGGTTATTCCTTGACCATGTTGGACACCTCTCATTTATCAGCTTTTGTTGAGAGGTGGCACCCAGAGACATCATTCTTCCATCTTCCATTTGAGGAGATGATGGTGACTTTAGATGATGTAGACACCCTCTTTCATATTTTGATTGCTGGTACATTTTTTACACTAATTTATAGGGACCAGGCGACGGTCGTGCGCATGGTTATAGAGGATTTGGAGTGTTCTGAGGCGGAGGTGTTGAAGGAGTTTGGTGAGACTCGGGGATTTCACCTTCAAATATATTGGCTGGGGAGTTTGTATGAAGAGCTTGTAGAGGCACAGAGGTACGAGGTTGCCACTAGGGCCTACATGCTACATCTAGTGGCATGTACTCTCTTTGTGGACAAGTATTGAGTTTATATTGATGTTTGGTACTTGTCTTTATTCAACGCACTTGACACTCCATGTTGGGCTTGGGAAGTGGCGGCCTTGACCATGTTGTACTCGGAACTTGACGTTAGTTCTCGTCCTGAGACCAGACAACTTGCTGGTTACTGTAATACGGTGGGAGAACTGACTTGAGGTTTTGCGTTTGTGTTCGCAAATGTTTCAGTTTAGCAAGAGTCACCACCGACTTTTTATTTTATCTTAAGGAAAGGGCAAAAAGCACAGGAAAGACCTTTGAGATGTTTTCTTGGGTTCGGGGAGTAGATTATGAAAAGGGAAGGTGCAAGCACCCTTTTCATCCATGGTTTTCCATGGGCTCTTAGTTACTTGTTTTAGATCACTTGCCTTTGCTTTTCAATTGTTTGAAATTGTGTTTTGTGTGTGTGGTTTTTGAAAATGTTTTGAAAAAGAGGCCTTGTCTATGCAACCTTTGTAATGATTCTTTGTTTGAATATATACAAAGGTGTTTGTCTTTTTGAAAAGATATTTCAATGTTTTGAAAGTTGTTTTTGGAAAGTGTTTTGAAGTTGTGTTGTGATGTGTGTTTGAAAGTAGCAAGGATGTTTTGCAAGCTTTTGATCAAGTAACTAAGAGTTGTCTACTCTATTTTACTCAAAGATATTTCTTATGTTTTTAACCCTTTTGACAGTGTTATTTTACCATTGCATTTGGTGAATAACCTTGTGTTAGGATGTTAAACGGGACAGGCGCGAGTCATCCCATACAATCATTGAAAGCAACTTGTGAGACGTTTTAGCAATTTTGTAAGGGACGAGATCGTTTTATCGAAGGCAACATCGAGGGACTACGATCTTTGTTTATCGAAGGGGCATTTGCTAGAGTGTCTCATACTCGAGGGACATGATTGCATTTTCCGAAGCAACAAGCGAGGTTACCCTAGAGGTGCAAGTGTGAATCGTGTTTGTCAATTTCATGCATTTGTCTTGTATTAGGTTATCTAGCGATTGATTTTGAATCTTGCCATACACACCTAATTACTATACAGTATATTGAAAGCAATAAATTGCGGAAATTAAAAGTCTAAGTTATTACAAAAAGTATCCGGGGATGGGGGTACAATTATTTACAAATGGGGATGAGTCTCTCAAGAATAATAATGTCCACATATCAAATGTTACAACCAAATCGAATTGTCGCAATTCAAATATAAAGCTATAACAAATCATAAAAATAAGAGAGAGAAAAATATTATGAGATGCATGTGTAAATAAAAATCTATCCTAAAAAAGAAAGATCAAGTATTATTATTATTTTTTTGTGTTTTATGAGTTATGTAAATAAAGGGTTTAAAGAAAAAACTACTTAAATTAATGTTTCTATTATTTTTTGTATTTGTATAAAATGTAACAATTATTAAAAAAAAATAAAATTATATTAAGAAAATCAGAACAAAATTTTAATACATTATTTGTTTTTATTATTAACAAAAATAATTTATTTAGAATGAAAATAATTAAAAGAAGGTATTGGTTTAAAGAAAAGAAATTAAAGAAAAGAAAGAGAGGGATGGGCTTAAGAGTTTGAGGAAATGGGCCCAAGATAAAGAAAAGAAAGAAGGCAGAAAGGGGGGGTCAGAATGGATATGGTGGGGTTGGCATGTTTAGCAAATCAGATGGGCTTGGCACATTTGTTTGAGGCGAAGGCCCATTATCCAGTTTTCACAATGTTGTTAGGGTTTGTAAATTTTAGGGTTAGTGTGCTTTGGCTACAGCGGCGCCCCTTTTGCTTTGTTCTTCTATTCTTCATCTTCCTCAAACAAAAACGTTGATTCTCCCTTAAACCCCAGGTTACCGGAGCGTCACCCTCTCTCACTCTCTTCCTTCTCACAGTGGCCCACAGTTTTGGTTTTATCATGGTACGATTCGTTATCTTTTTCTTTCGCGTTTTACAGTTGTGTTCATTTGTTTGATTCTTGCTTGCATGTTTTAATCCATGGCTTTTATGCTTGAGATGCAGTAAAGGGGTTGAGAAAAACTTACCTTGAGCGTTTTGTTTCTGAAAAAAGATGGAGGGAGAGAGATGGGAGTTGGTGGCGACGTTCCTGGTGGCCGGAGCGGAGGAAGATGAGATGATGGCCACGCTTTGGCTTCTGGTATCTCTTTTTTGTTGTCCTTTTGATTTGTTGATGTTTGATGATGAAACTGTTCTAAGAACTGTTGATTTCTGTTATTGATGATGAATATGCTTCTGAAACTGTTTTGGTTGCTTCTGAACCTCTTCTTCTTCTCTTGGCTATTGATGTTTTGATGATGAAGAAATTCTGAAAACTGCTTCTGAACCTCTCTTCCTCTTTTCTTGAAGTGTTAATGATGATACATTTCTGAAACTTGTTGTTTTTTGATTAATGATGAAAGAATTCTGAAAACTTGTTTACTTGTTTTGCTTCTGAAAACTCTCTCTTTCTCTCTTCCTTAGATGTTGATGATGAAAGAATTCTGAAACTGTGTTTTTTGTGGTTGCTTCTTGTTGAAGCTTGGTTGGCTTTCTGAGTTTGTTTAGGCTTGTGGTTTGTATCTTGACAGGTTTGGATTTGTTTGACAAATTTTTTGAGTTTGGGCAAGCTTTGTTGGTTTGCTTGCTGAGTTTTATTTGCAGTTTGGAAACTGCAGGTTTTGTTATGTTTGATTTGCAGGTTTATGGTGTTTTTTGGTTTTGACAATTTTTGTTAGGCTTGTAGTTTGTATCTTGACAGGTTTGGCAAGCAGATTTTGTCGTTGTAGCTTATAGTTTTGGTTACAGGCTGTGTGTTTTGTTGATTGACTTGTTGAGCTTGTAGTTTTTGGGCAAGCTTGCAGGTTTATGGTTTGAGCAGTTTTGCTAAAATAGGTTTGCAGTTTGTTATTTGCAGGTTAGCCAGTTTGCAAGTTGTGCAGGCTTTTGAGTTTTTGTTCTTAAGCTTGGCTCTCATGTCCTCTTTTTAGACTGTTATGCAGTCCTCTCTTTTATATCTTTTTTGTTTTTGTTCACTTATGTTAGCCTGCCTTAGCCAAACTGCAAACTTTTTCACCAAAGGTCCTCTCTCTCTCTCTCTCTCTCTCTCTCTCTCTCTCTCTCTCTCTCTCTCTCAAATAAGCACTTTTGCTTATTATATTGTATTTTCTGAAAAGTTTGCCTAGGAAAATGATGATGGCTTTGACAAGTCTTTGACTTGTGAATTGGTTTTTCTCTGCCTTTGCCTGCTATTTGATTTGCCATGCTACTTTCTGCATTGTGTACTTTTGCCTTAATAATTTGCATCTAGTTGACTTGTAACTCAGTTTGCTTATGTTTGACAGTTTTGAATTTTGGCGCCTTGGTTTGCCTTGCAACTTGCCTATGTTTGACAGTTTTGCATTTAGTTTGGTTACTGCATTTTGGTATTCTGTTTT